ATACCACTGTATCTTGGGCTTTTGAGCATCTTTGGATTCTGATATCCCTGGAGATCCTGGTGTCAGTGCCTCCCAAGAGACCAGGGCACCTGGTTTTGCATGTGACTATGGGAAGAGGGGCAGGGTTTATTGCCAAGGCTTCTGGTGTGCTCAGGAACTTGAGAGCAAGCCCTGCTCTCCAGGTAGCTTTGTTGGAAGCCTAAGACCGCCAATCCCTTTGCAGCTCACGGTGGTAGGAGTCAGGGTTCTGGATCAGCAGAACTGCAGGTCTGGCCTCCTGTGGTTCACAGTTGTTAGCAATCCCAGTCCTTATACAGCAGGCAGACAGGACCGCACCTGCCCTGCCCCTCCCCCTTCCTCAAAGGCTGACCCTTTGGGAACTGTAGAGGCTCCCTCTCTGTTCCCCTACATCCAGACAAGAAAGCACTGATCGCAGCCTAGGGATGGCTCCACCTGGGACCTTCAGGGTGGGGTGACAGAGAGATGAATGATCGAGGAAGCCATGCTACATGGAACCCTGCACACTAAACTTCAGTGCTCTGTGGCCAGGCCTGTGCCCGACCTGCTGCCCGCACCGCTGACAGCCAGTGTGAGACCATGTAAGAGCCAGACCAGTGGGTTTCAGAAGTGGAAGAAGGAACCATGTGGAGTTGGCTGTAGCAAACTGGCCAGTGCCAGCAAGAGCAGGGTGGCGGGCTCATCCATTCTGGACTCTCAAGTGCTACCAAAGTGCGGATTGCGTGTTTAATGGTGAGCCTCCCACCATTCTGCTGAGGTTGCCTCCTGGGACCACTGTGATGGCTACCACGTCACACTGTGGAGGCTGCAGAGGTCACAGAGCAGTCACCCCCCCCCCCTCTGTCTTCACCTAAGCTCTATCCAGAGAAGACTCAAGGGAGCATGGGCAGTTTATTGAGCCAATAAAATCTCAAGTACACAAGTTTCAGAGACCCATGGGGTTTGTTTACTTCCTATAGGGGTCAAGGATTTCCCAGCCTGAGATCTTTTGTTCTACCACCTCAGTGTCCCCAGCCTAGGAAGACACCTGTCACCTGAGGGCAAGTTGTACTATCTGTGCCCACCTTGAGACACTGTTCTGTTAGCCTGGCATCCTGACTTGAACACACAGAGAGACTCGTCCCTTTTCCTTGCATGATCTAGTCATGTACCACATACTCATACTCCTGCCATGAAGAGGGGGCACACTGTTATGGTGAAAATAAAATGCCACAGGTCCCCAAGTGGCTGCAGTGGCAGACACACTGCAGGACCCCAAGTGTCAGCAGTGGGCATGAAGCCATGGCGGGCCACGAAGGCACCCGAGTCCCAGGAGGGAGCCACGTGGTGGGTTAGAGACAGAGACATGGATAGGCACACGCCATGCAGAATGAAGTTGGATATTTATTTAGTGGGGGGGAGGAGGGAAAGGGAGAAGGGAAAAGAGAGAGAGAGATGGGGGAGGGGAAAAGGGAGGGAGGCAGGAGCTGCCTCTTTGGGAAGGAGATGGAACAGGGGAGACTGCAAGCAGAAGAAAGATCTGCCTGCCTCAGTGGTGGGCTGGGAGGGTGAGAGGGTGGGGGGAGGGGCTTGTCTCTTAAAGGGATAGGACAGACCATTACACACACTGCTTGTTCTGTTGGCTGTCTCTTTTTGGTTACTTTTTGGAAAACATTCCCAGCCCCCTTTCAGCCCAGTCCTCCTCTTTGGCTCTTGGATCTTCCCTGGTATGTCGCGTTCTCAGCGACCCCACCTCACCTTGGTACCCACAGCCCTGAGAATTGATTCTGAACACAGTTAGCCCTAGTTCACAGTGCTCAGTGTGGCATCTCTGTGTTGCAGCTTTCGGCACATCATAAGAGTTGAGAAGCGATAGTCAGGAAGTGGGGAAGAGTGCTGGGGCCAGAAGAGGGTTAGGGAGACACCGCTAGGGAGCCCGGTGCAAAAGCCATGGTCTCGGGGCTGGGGCTGATGCTCAGGCTGGGCCCTCACTGTAGCCTTGCCCAACTTTGCAGAGTCAAGACGGCCAGCAGGTTCCAGACTTATGACTGTGAAGTTCTTATCCCCATGGTGGCTTTTTCATGTCCTTTTCCACTGCTGAGGCATACCCCCAACTCCTGCAGGCATGTGGGGGGCTCTTCTAGTCTCTTGGCAGAAACAGCCTTCCCAGGAGTCCAATCTAGAAGAGAGCTCCACAGGCCCAGTAAACAGAACCAATGGGAGCGGGCTGGCCAGATGGCCAGATAGATTGATGACTGATCTCATGGCTCTCAGGAGAATGTGACCTGTCTGTCCAGCTTCTACAGGGCAGGCTGGCTCCATTGGGAGTTGCCAGCCCAGCCCCAAGCCAAGCCCACCTCACTCTTCATTTTAAGAGTGAGGCCCACCCACACCCTGGGACTCATCTCCCATGAGGGGACAGATCGCAGATGTCAAATCAGTCAAGGAAAACCTAGATTTTATGTTGGGATGCATGGCTGGGACCCTGCCAGGGAGACACAAAAGCTGACCATCAAAAGTTCCACAGTCCTGTGATCTGGCCAGATGGGCCAGGCAGTGAGCTCCGTAACAGAACACTGCCCTGCCTGTGTGTTTTAGATCTAGGCTGCTAGCTCTCATGAGGTTGTAGAAGCCGAGGCAGCATAAGGGTAGAGTATCACTCTACCTAGGACAGCAGAGCACATTCCCTCAGCAGAGAGCTGCAGGCCTGGGCAGAAAACACAAGGAATGGGGGAGGTGGAGGAGGGGCTTTTAGTTCAGAACTCATTCGGAGCCCCAGCCCTATGTTGTGTGGACCTCAGCAGGTGGGAAAGGGCAGCCACTGGTGAGCTGTCCCCACAGGAATGCCGGAAATACAGAAGGGACAGGAATGCAGGAACCATCCCTATGGTATTGATGGGGGAAGGCTGGCAGAAGCCTTGAGATGGTAACAACCCTCTCCAGGAGCACAGCTGGGGTTCTAGGCAGGCTAGCCAGCAAGGGGGTTTTGGAAGCTTGCAAGGACCCAGCTGTGGAGAAGGTGGGAAGCTGGGAGTCCTGAAGGAAAGCGGTATGGCTGACCGTGAAGAGCCTAGCTCCTTGGGAATGTGGACTTAACTTGAAAGCCTTAAAAATGCCACCAAGATATCTAGAAACTAGCCCCTCTTTTTTTTTTGTGTGTGTGTGTGTGTGTGTGGTACATGTGTGTGTGCATATGCACATGTGTGCAAACTCATGCAGAGGACAAATGTCTACATTCAGGATCTTCCTGAGTCTGACTTTTTGAGGCAGTCTCTCGTGGGGTCCCTGGGCTTATCTGATTGGTCTAGACTGACCGTCCAGTCAGTCCAGGCTCTCTTCCTATCTCTGTCTCCCCAGGTTTGGGATTGCAGGCATGTGCTACAGCACCCTGCTTTTTATGTTGGTGGTGGGGACCACACTCATGGCCTCATGCTTGCGTGGCAGACCCTTTATCCACTAAGGCATCTCCTCAGCCCCCAACTTTTGCTTTTTGGAAGAAGTGAGCTGGAACACGTGTGACACACGAGAGACCGCAGGTGGGAGCTGTGACGGGCCGAGGACAGTGTGCTGATTATTTATGAATGAACACGTGTGTTCACCACATGTTGAGTGCTGCTGCACTTGGGTGTTGGTCTGGGCGCTGCATACACGGGGTCACCTGGTGTGCTGTCAGGAAGCTGTCGGGCCCCATGCCAATGAATTCACAGATAATACTAACCTGCCATGGTCACGTGACCATGAGAGGACAGGGCAGAAAAGGACAGAGGAAAACTTCAGGGTGCAAAGTCAGAGGGGCCGCTCTGAGGGGACACTGCCCAACATTTGGAGGTTTCAGGGAAGAGCATCTAGCCCTGAGATCAGGTCAACTTGTTGGAAAAGTTCTCAGAGAGGAGGGCAGAGGTCAGGAAGGAGGAGGATGTGGAGGGAGTCAGGTGAGGCGGTGTAGGTCAGGTGAGGAAAGTTCGGGAGGGGTGGAGTAAGAAAGAGTCCTTAATTTGGGTGAGTTTGCTGGCTGTGAAAAATCCCTTCCCAAACGCAAATGTCTAACCCATAAGCAGCCACTTTTAGGAAGGTGGACACGGACTGCTCTGCTGAGCGGCTATGGGCATGTGCCATGCCACCCATTCGCTTCTCAGAGTAAGAGAAGCTGGAAACCCAAGGTCAAGATGTGCGCAAACCTCGTATCAACCTTATCACAACATGCAGGAGAGGAGAGGCTGCTCACAGGGGACCTAACCCTCGTAGAAAGGTGCCATCCTCGCAGCTAGTCATCTACCAGGCCCCTCTCCAAATGTTCTCAAGTTGGGTGTTGGGAATCCATCATGTGGCCCTGGATCTACCCATTACTGACATGGTCCAGCAGAGATGCAGGACCTAGGGCTCCCTGGACTTGGCCACACGCTCTAATGTCGGGCTGAGAGCCACTGTGAGAGGCACCACATTGTATGCTGTGAGAAACAGCTCAGGGTAAAGAAGGGTACATGTGGCTAGCTTGGGGGAACTCTGGCAGGTTTGGATGGAAGGGCAGCCTAACTGAGCTCCAAGGCATCATTACAGGCCCCTTGGGGTAGGACATTGTCACTGAGGTTGAGCCCAGTGCTTGAGAGGCTGGCAGTGGAGGTGATATTAAGGACACAGCCACATAAGGGCTGTGCTGGCTGGCAAGGAGAAGGGGCCCCTTGAGGGAGACAGATCAGAGGGGCCATCCATCAGTGGTCCTCCTTTGTCACCTCGACCCTCTAATCCACAGCATCCTCTCACCTTGCCGTTGTCACCTTCCCCTTTGAGAGCCATGACTAGCCAGCGAGCACCTAGTTACCCCCGCCCCCCTCTGCTCTGCAATATTTCCTCCTTCACAGTGCTTCACAGTGTTCAAAGACACCACACTAGATCCTGTGATATTTCTAATCAAGAACACAGGACGATGTGCGTCTGATGTCTCCCCGACATGAGAGGAGGTTGAAAATGATTTCATTCTCTTTTTTTTTCCTTTTCAAATGCAGCGCGAAGTCAGAAGGACCAAGGGGAACCGGCCAGCCTTCCCCGGAGCTGGCCCACAGGCCTCTTCGGTGGGAACCTGTCCTAGGAGTGGCCCATTCTGCAAACAGGTGTGTGCTCTCTACTCTGCCGCGGCTGGTTCTCAGTGGCCAAGGGTGGCCCATGTGGGTAGTGGGAGGGGGGTCAAGTGCTGTAAGAACAGGGGTCAATAGAGGGGAGCCTTGCTCTGCCCAAAGGAGTTTTTGCACTGTTCCCACCATGTGAATCCCTCACCCCCTCACCCCTGTGTTGTTCACCTGCCCTTACCCCTCCCCTCACTAAAATGCAAATCAGTATGTACATAATAGATAATTAATAGACTGATCAGCCAGCAAGGGAGGTAAGTAGATAAATAATTTTAATTATCCTTGGGTTGCTCATAAATTCCCTCGCTGCCGTTTTATTAAACTCTGTTTACAAGAGTCATTTATATTCCGTGTCGCCGTGCCAAACTTTCCTCCTTTCCTCCTCCCTGGCTCCCTCCAGGTCTGACCTAGGGTGGCATCCCACCATGTGACCACAGGCTTTGCTTCTAGCAGGGTCTGGGTCCCAAGGAGGGAGAAAGCTTTGCCCAAGTGGCCAGGTTAGACAGCGGGAGGGAACATGTGGGCTCAGTGTAGCCAGGGAGCTCCAGCCCTTACTCCCCAGTGTGGCTTGGGCCAACTGGGAGCCTTGGTTACACTTGGCACCTGTGCTGTGGCTATGAATTCATTCTTCTCCCCAGGGATGCCCTTGGCCTATGAATAGCCCTGGCTGAGGTTTCCTCGGTACTCTGAGTGCCAGGAGAGAAAGCAGGTTACTAAACATAAAGTAAAGCTCCTACAGAAGATCAGGGCCAGACTCTCCCAGGCTATCCCAGAGATATGGCTAGTGGGATACCATGCCTCCTCCTCCCCAGATAACCTGGCCTTGGTTAGTGGGTGTTGGGAACCATGGTGGCAAATGTGTGCCTGGTTCCCACGGAGCTGAGCGTCAGAGAGGTGCTGGAGGGAGGCTGGCTCAGGTGGGACCTGCCTCAAATGACGGTACCGTGAGGAGGGACGTCTTTTCTTGGGAATCTTCCTCACGTACTCTTTCTGTCTTGCTAGTTCATCAGTGTTGATGTCTCCCCATCGGCATGCAGGAAAATGCATTGGGAGGACCTGGGTGGCCCTAGCAAGGCTTCCTCTGGTCCTGTCCTCCTTCTATAGTCGGGGTAACTTGGATTGAAACACTAATGCGGTGGGAACAGAGGGCCAGGAGCTGAGCACGGGCCAGGGAAACACTCTCTGGACTCAGGCATGCATAGGGCTGCCCTGATTGCATCCGTTCTTATGACCAGACCAGTGTCGAGAGCTGGGAATGTGTGCCTGTTGAAGGTGTCTGCGGGGAGCACAGGCTCCCCCACCTAGGTGTTATCTCTTCACGCCCATGCTCTGGCCAAGCGAATGTCTTGTATCTCTGTCTTGTTGATGCTCAGGTGCCCAGATGCTCTCCCTGTGCTCAGCAAGGTCATGGTTGCCCAGCTCATGACTGACAGAGCAGCGCTCACACCTGAGTTCCCTGGGCCCAAAGCCCCTCTCCTGCAGGCCCCACGTCAGGGGATGCTCTGCAGAGCATGAAGCTGTGTCGCTCGGATCCTTCCTAGATTTTGTTCCTGGAAGTGAAGTCAGGCTGTAGATGCCATTGCTCCGATCAAATGGGGCCCCGGCTGAGCTCTCGGAGGGTGCTTTCTTGATGGTAAAACCCAGATGTCTTCCAGTTGCTGGCCTGTACCGCCACTGTGTAGGGCTGAACGAACCCTGGTTTCTGCAGCAGATTGGCACTGGATGGTGAGCTGGGTTGTGCACTCTCTGCTGACTGTTCTTGACTCCTTGGAGGGAGGCTGTTTGCCCTGGGCAGAGGGAATGCAAGCCGAGCAAATGGAGAGGCCTTTTAAGTTCCACTCGGTAGAATTAAAATCTGAAAAATGGCTCATTGGAGGTTCCCTGCCCTTTTAAGAGTTTGTTTAGCTCAGAGCTTTGCAGTCTGCCCTGGGTCTTGCCTAGCCCACACCGACTGAGTGGGAAGGTGCCAGGACCAGGGAGAGGAGACAGAGTTCACGGGGGGCTTTTGACTACCTCTTCCTATGTTAAGGATCATGCTGTCTGGTCACCAAGACAGTTAACATAGCTGTCTGGATCAAACCTCCTGGGAGGTGTGCAACCCCAGCTATTCCTTAGAGAGCAGCAGCGGAGTTCAGCTTCCTGAAAACCCTATCCGAGTCCCTGGGCAGCACCTAATTACTGGCTTTTCTTATTCCATTACAAATAGTCTTAGCATTTTCTATCTGTCTCTGTTTTGTGGAGCTTATTGGGTAGCAAGAGAAAAAAAGAAGAAAAGAAAAGAAAGAAAGGCTCAAACTGATGCCACTCCTCACGATAGCCAGGATGACTGGCTTTCCCAGGTCTCACCATCCCCTCCCCAACACACTGACAAGAGCCCTACATCAGCTCCTGCCTCATACGTCTGAGCCACCAGGACCAACATTAGGAAGGGGGTGATAACTCACTGATGACAAGCAGCTAGAGTGATGTTTCCTGTCCTGGAGGAGCCACTGCTTTTCCCCAGACAGGATCTGAGAGCAGAACTGTGCTGAGCTGTCCCCAGCGCCCCAAGACGAAGGGCTCTGGACAGTGTGCCAGAGCTGCTAGATGCCCCAACCGCAGGCATGGGAAAGAGTTGAATTCTCATGCAGACATCAATAGCGGTGTTCTTGTTCCAGAATGTGGTTCCCACTATAGGTGACTTTTCTGGTTGTCATCGGGTGTCATTGGAGCCCCAAGAACTGTAGTGTGTAGCTGAGAGTGGTTGGACCTTCAGTGGGTATCCCTCGTTCTCTCCTGATGATCTTAAACCAGCCTCCCTGGAGCCCGGAGATCCAGAGACCGCTGACGGGATTGCTAGCTTCTTTTTCTAATCATCGTTTTTCTGTTATTTATGCTTGCCTCTGCCTCCTGAGGGCCAGGTTTAGAGGCATCATGACCACGCCTCTCTTTATTTTTAATTCTTAAGATTTTTTTGCACGAATTTTAATTTTTCCTATTAATAAAAACCCGGAGTCAGATATCAGGGTGAAAGCGAACGGACCAGAGAAGCAGAGCAGCCAGCCACTAGTTCTTACCTCTACGAAATCCTCAGACTGCATGGGGTGTCCTGTCTCTACCAGTCCTCAGCCTGAATGCCATCTCTATGAAACCTCAGACTGAATCCTGAGCTCCATCTCCTCCTACTTTATGTTCCTCTCCCTGCCCAGCCATATGACTCCTGTCTCTACCTCCCTAGTGCTGGGATTAAAGGCGTGTGTTCCAATACTTTCCTTCCCAAGTATTGGAAGTAAAGGTGTGAGCTACCACTGTGTTGTTCTGGTTCTCTTTTAGAGTGATTCAATCTCGCATAGCCCAGGGTGGCCTTGAACTCACAGAGAACCATCTGCCTCTGACTCCCAAGTGCTGGGATTAAGGGTGTGTGCCATTACTGCCTGGCCTCTATGGCTAACTAGTGTGGCTAGCTCCCCACTCTGATCTTCGGACAAGCTTTATTTGTTAGATCATAAACAAAATATCACTATGAAGACTTATGTTTATTATTTAAGTACATGTGCATTTGTGTGTGTCTACGAATCTATGCGTAGTTAGTATGCACATGGATGCATGTGCCTGCAGAGACCAGAAGTGTCAGATCCCCCGGAGCTGGAGTTACAGGCGTTCATGAGGCTCCATGGTTGATGGGAACCAAACCCGGGGTTTCTGCAAGAGCAGTACATGCTTTTAGCTGCTGAGCCATCTCTTTAGCTCTGAGGATTAGTCTCCTTAAAGCAAAGTTAACCCTTCACATGTCTTCATCACAACACAAGAAGAAAAGTAACCGAGGTGCTTCTTGGAAAACGCAGACAAGTGAAGCAAGCTGTCACAGCCGCTGTGGTGGCCCAGACATTTTCTCCCCTCCCTAGCTCTTGAGACATCTCAGGAAAGCAGCTTCCCACCCGGTGCTGTCTTTGCTTCGCTTTACGGCTCCTTGATAACCGCTTCTGTTACTTTGTTGCACGGAAGTGCCATCTTGTAGCCAATTCTTCCATGCCTGTTTTGAAGTACACAGGCAGGATCAGACACTGACCCTGTCTCCAAATTCTATGCCACATTTAAAAAGCCTAGAAGAGGCATTTTTCCAAATAAGAATTAGGAGATGATAGTTTACTTTAGAAGCAGTCTTCAGATACATTTAAAATTTTTTGAAAAGTAGCCTCCCCCAAGGTATTCGTGATCAAAAGACATATGAATTCTCTGCTCTCATTCCTGTTTGTCCACCTCCAGAGCCTTCCCCGTCCTCCATGGAGGTCTTTTCTCAGTACACATGCTGATGCTGATGTGGGGTATGGTCATATACACTAATATGCACACATATGATCAGGCATGCATACATGTGCAAGCATGGCTTCACACATAGGTACACATGCACAACACTTGCCCACATGCTTACACTCTCAGATGCACATGTGCATACACATAGGCCTATGGACACAGCCACATACAACCTAATACATGCAAACACAGGCATACCTATGTGCATACAGGCACTCACACCCAGTGTTTAGCAACATGTTCCCATCGTCAGCTGAAAGGTGATGTTAATTGAATTCTTTCTTAATCACATCTGTGTATCAGACATTCTGCTCCTAGCAACCATTCCCAGGGAATGAGCAGTCATTTCTTTCTCAGAGATAAAGAGAAATAGATGTTGATGAGGTCGCTGGGCTGGTCAGTGGCCCCAGCCCATGTGACTTATTATTTAATGAGAAAAACAGGAAGCCCTCAGAAGAGATCACTGACTGAAACTCCCAACCTCAGGCTGGAAGCTGAGCATCTGCAAGCTTTGCCTTCTGCTGGTGCATAGCTGTTACCATATAGAGAATGACATCATCACTCCGGATGAGAGCATCTACCACCCCCCATGGCCAGCTGAAGGCCCTGCGGGTAGAAACAAAGGGAAGACCAGAAACCCAGTCTGCTGCCCCAAGTGAAGCCTCAGTGCAGGCTGTGTAACCATACTCCCT